GTACTATATTGTTTAATTCTGTTGTCTTAATATTTCTATTTATCTCTACTCCAGAAACTTCCATAGCTTTGAAAATTGAAGTGGCAAGCATGAAAATATAGAAGTGTGAATTCCATGTTACCACCAAGTAAAATGGAATTCTTTCTTTGTTCTAGTTTTGATGTGTGATGTTAGTTAATTTCTATACATAAACATCTCTACTTTTTTCTATCCAAATTATAAAAGATCAGGTCTAATTCACCTTAGGAAATTATTTTCATGATTGATTGTTGGTTGTTCATCTAAGTGCCCTCTCTGCCTCTCATAATCAAGCTTACTCTTTAACTTCACTGAAGGCATTATCTACTTATATCACTTAGCGTTCGGTGAACTCACAGAAGTTTTTAGTGTAGTGTTCAATAAGAGGTTCATATAGCATTTTTCTGGGTTTAAACAGAGACAAATATCCCAGAGCTGTTGAAAGGGCAAGAAAAACACAGATAGCATAGACTAAAGGCAACACATTACAAAATGTTCTGGAGACTAAGAAATGTACACAAAGTAAATGGATGAAAGATAAATAAATAGATGGAAAATGAAATAGAACTGAGAAAAGAAAATACTACATACTATGCTTTGCTAATGGACTCAGGCAAAATCCTACCGGAGAACCCAGAGAGAGAACAAGTAGATTTTATATTTGAAAACTCCTAACAAGAACCCAGGTATACTGAGAATAGTACGTATTTGTGGGTGGATATTTAGCATGGATACATATATATAAATATATATGGATATATTCATATACATATGGATATATTCATATATATGGATATAGTCATATATATATATCAAGTCTTAGTGGCAAGAAGAGAGGGACATCAAATCTGTGTACAACACAGGGTAAAGTACTTTTCTTTTCACTATTAAAAATTGCTATATTTCATCAAAGGAGCCCTAGTGGTGCAACAGTTAAGCGCTCAACTGCTAACCAAAAAGGTTGGCAGTTCGAATCCACACAGCAGCTCCTAGGGAGAAAGACGTGGCAATCTGCTTCTGTAAAGATCACAGCCAAGAAAACCCTATGGGGCAGTTTGATTCTGTCACATGGGGTCACCCAACAACATACTTCATCAACTCAATGGATCATCCAGCACAATATTATTCAGTCAGTGTCTCAAGTGATGTTTTTTGGGTAGTGCATTATGGTGTTCACCACCAAAAGTGACCCTAACTTCCTATAAATTTATATAGTACCATCATTTATCAATCCATCTCAAGTCTATTTTGTCTTTATTTTGCACCATCTCTATGAATAACAAATCCAATAAGCTCACTTTACATTCCCTAATATAGTATTTTGGTGCGTTCTAGATTTGCTTCTTTAAAGCTTTGAGTATTATGAAATTTTTGATGAAATCTGTATCTACCATATAATTTTATACTTTTAGCGATATTGATCATTTTCTCTTTAGATGTCTTAATAAGCTAGAATCTTTTGTTTTGATTTATCCTCTTATGGAAAAAATTAACATAGATCTGAAGTTCTTTGGATTCTAATTATCCTAAATGTCATACGGATTATTTCCTGTGATAGAATGGACATCAGAAATTAGAGAGCTATAAGAAAAAGGGTTGACTGAGCCTGTTTTACTTGTCAGTGTGCATCAGATAATTTAGTTGCAG